TAACATTGCTTTGGGCCAGTACTTGTTTATCAGCATTAAAGAAAATATATATAAAACTAAAACAAGCCAGTAGAGTTATATGTAATATGCATAAATGTGCCCATGCTAAACCGTTACTCCGTGAAATCAAAGCTTTAAACGTCTATGAGTTAAATTTGTACCAAAACCTATTATTTATGTTTAAATATCAAAAAGGCATGCTTCCTTAATTCTTTAACAATCATTTTCCAATTATTTCTCATAAATACTTAATGAGGTGCTCTATTCACAATTTTAACTTACCTAAATCAACATTAAAAAAATTACTCAATTTCATATAGAGGACCTCGTCTATGTAACAGAATTCTTGACGACAACATAAAAAGTATAACCTTAAAACAATCTTTTAAAAATGAAGTTAAACAGAATTTGCTCGACTTAACAGATACAAACATACTTTTTTATTTTTAGTTTTAAAATTTAATTTTTTTAACGTTACTTATTTGTTTTTCTTGCTGTTTTTTTTTACTTTATTTTTGAAGTATTTTTATCTTATTACAATAAAGTTTATATTTATTTGCTTTATATAACGAGTATTTGTAAATAGTGAGATAATGACACAAAAAAAATGTAAATAATTATTATATATATTTTATTTCTATAAATTACATTAGAAGTCTTATTATAGTTTAGCTATTTTTAACTTGCTATATAAAATGGTTATTTATTTTTTTGTTGAAAAAACTTGTAAAGCTAATCTTTTAAATTTCTTTATTTTGTTTCTTTAATTTAGCAAATTTTATTTTATTATTGTTATTTTAACTTGCTTTATATAGTGAATATAAATTATTATATTTTATATATTATGGATACTTTGTAAAAAAAATATCACGCAAATTGTAGGGGCTTGACGATAAGACTTATGTCTTCTACTTGCTCTTGTCATTCTTTTTATTTTGATTTATTTTATTAATCATGGAAACGAGAACATTGTAAAATGCTTATATATGACGAAATAAATAAATAAGTTTAATCTCAAGAACGACAAATTGATGACTAAATGAAGAATGTGAAAATTTTTTAGTTTAATTTAACATATATATATATATATATATATATATATATATATATATATATATATATATATATATATATATATATATATATATATATATATATATATATATATATATATATATATATTATATATATATATATATATATATATATATACATATATATATATATATATATATATATATATATATATATATATATATATATATATATATATATATATATATATATATATATATAAATATATATAATATATATATATATATATATATATATATATATATATATATATATATATATATATATATATATATATATATATATATATATATATATATATATATATATATATATATATATATATATATATATATATATATATATGTATATATATTTATATTTCAAATTAATGAAATTATACAAAGTGTTTAGTTTTTTTACTTTTCTATTAAATTTGAAAGCAATGATGTTTATCTTGTATAGAGCCTACTTAAATTTTTGAGCAAGAAATAAGCATCCAAAGGTGACTGAAAATTAGGAAGATTATTAGGAATATGATTCCAATGGTTATTGGCACTAATATAGAGAAGACTATTGATTGATCAGGAGCAAATAATAGGCTTGCTTTAAAAGCAATGCCGTTAAAATTAATAGGTAAGAATAAAAACTGTGTTTTTTTGGTTAAAAATTTATTAACTAGTATAAAAAAGTCATTACTTAGTTTCATAATAAAAATAATTATTTTTAAATGTTTTTTTTTTATATAAAATGTTATTATTTTTGAAACTTTTAATTAGTTTTTGCATCTTTTTAGTACCAGGTTGACATAATAAAATAAAAAAATAAAACAGACAAGCATTTATATATATATATATATATATATATATATATATATATATATATATATATATATATATATATATATATATATATATATATATATATATATATATATATATATATATATATATATATATATATATATATATATATATATATATATATATATATATATATATATATATGTTTGTGTATGAGTTAAAGTACATTTACTATCTTATATATAAATTATTTACTATCTAATATATAAATTGTATAAACAATTTTGTCACACATTGTTTAACTTAGCGATATTTAGATGCAGTGCAATTAAAAACATTTACCTCAAGAGCATCATGAGAATAGTTTGAACATTAACGAAATAGTGGATCGAAATAGTTTGAACTATTAATAACATTTTGTTGTTTACAATTTCATTATTTTTTAACACATTTTTTTTCGCAATAAACTTCGAAAATACTTATTTTTGTCGATATAAGTTGAAATATATTTCGATAAGTACTTTTTTATTTAAGTTATGTCGGATATCACATTTGCACAGAAACGGCTAATAACAACGTGCTAGTGTATGAACTTTTAAAAAGCAATGCTTTAATGGTGACACGCATCTGAATAAATGCTGAACATGATCATGGTTCAGTTTTGTGAACAGATAATGGACTAGTACTGGCAAACGATCGCGGGCCAGTGCTGGCAAATGATCTCGGGCCAATGCTGGCAAGCGGTTGCGGGCCAGTGCTGGCGAATGATAGCGGGCCAATACTAGCCCATTTCTAGCGAGTCAATAGTCGCAATTGCGTAGTCGCAAGCGGAACTGGGCCAGTATTTGGCCGCTAGCAGGAGGCTGCCTGGGTAGAGATATATATTATCAGATGTATAACATGTAATAGTAATTATATATTAATGTGATGTACTGTTTGCCCTAATATGCTTTCAAGTTTATTAGATGAACTGCTACCTGCAGATCTTGCGTCACTAAAAAACAAACAAAAATTATTCAAAAGAATTATATCTCTGTAAAGTGAATATATATTCAAGTGATAACCAAAATAAAAAATCAAATATGGTTTGTTATTCTGGCAATGTTAAGTTCAGTGATACTGATTCTGAACCCAAAACCAATCTTTTAGCTAGATTTGTTTAAATGACTATTAAAACTAAATATAGTGTTGACTGGAATATTTTATGTTTGGTTCAGTTTAACCTAAAATATGCAGTTAGGTAACCAAGCTTTATGGCTTAGTTGGTCAAAAATTGAATGTTTCAATTTGTTAAAATGTTGAAATACAATTTTTTTTTTTTGTTTATGGAAGAATATATATATTTCAAATGTAAAACTGTGTCTATAGAGGAAGTAACAAGTAGTGGTTTATTGAGCATCTTTTGTAGACTTACTTATAATGATTTAAATTATATGAAGAATGTGTTAATATATATATATATATATATATATATATATATATATATATATATATATATATATATATATATATATATATACATATATATATATATATATATATATATATATATATATATATAAATATATATATATATATATATATATATATATATATTTATATATATATATATATATATATATATATATATATATATATATATATATATATATATATACATATATATATATATATATATATATATATATATATATATATATATATATATATATATATATTAACACATTCTTCATATTATTTAAATCATTATAAGTAAGTCTACAAAAGATGCTCAATAAACCACTACTTGTTACTTCCTCTATAGACACAGTTTTACATTTGAAATATATATATTCTTCCATAAACAAAAAAAAAAAATTGTATTTCAACATTTTAACAAATTGAAACATTCAATTTTTGACCAACTAACATTATTTTTTTTATTATTTTTTAACCAACATTAATATTTTTTTTTTTTAGGTAGAGATTTTGAAAGTTCATAAATATAACTTTCGATATCCTTTTTTTTTTCTGGTAAAAATTGACTTTTTTGATATGTGTGTGTATATATATATATATATATATATATGTATATATATATATATATATATATATATATATATATATATATATATATATATATATATATATATATATATATATATATATATATATATATATGCAATTTATCTTTAATGTCTCTCGTTTACTTTTTGACTAATTCTCAGAAAATTGGCAACCATCGGAAAATAAAAAATTTATTACTTGATTAAAAAAATATATATTTTTTAGGACTTTATCTTGTTATTTAAATTGTTTTAAAAATAATAATTTATATATCACTTTGACATTTATTTTTTTTTTTAATTTTATAGTTTATAAAATATATTTCGTAAAGATAATAATTAGTAGGTATAAAAAGTATATCGTCATGGATAGTGAAAAAACCGCGTAACTTGCATTGGGTAATTCCGCGTATCTATAGTTTTTTTTTTTTTTATTAGAGAAGTTTAAAACTTTATATATTTTTTATTTCAACTTATTTTGGGTTCATTTCAGTATAAAGAGTATTATTCGTGTTTTTTGTAATCTCAACAATAAATATTTTGGGTTAAAATTATTAATATAAAAGTATAGTAGCCAATGCTGGTTATGCGGAGTTGCACTATCCTTGACGATATAAATAAAACAGTATAAAAAAATGTTTACTATTATCTTATTTTGCAACATGTAAATGATTATACATCAGTCTTGTCCATGTTTATTCGATAAATGCAGTCAGATCATTTTATGAAGTAAGTTTATGTTTTAAACTATTGTGTTATTAGGATAACACAATCATTGCGTTATCCACAAATAAAATTGTTTTGTGTTTTTTTCTTTAGTTTATTTCGTATTCTTAAATTTCGAAGTTTTGTTCATTAAATTTTAAAGTTGTTTGGATTTTATTCTGTATTTTTTTGTAAATATTTTTGTACTGTAACTTCGTTAAATATTTTTATGAAGGATAATTCATAAAAATATTTTTTTTCCCGTTTCATTAAATATTTTTATGAAGGAAAAAATTTAATGAAACGGGAAAAAAAAACAATTAAAAAAAAGATAAATATTTAAAAAGTTGTTAATAATAAAATATAAGCGTACTGTATATTTTAGTTTGCTTGTATTTAATTTTGTAATTTCCGATGATATATTTTCAGATTGCAGCGTTATAAAAGGCGGTAGAAAATATTCCCAAACAACATTAACTGCATGTTCTTTTGAATCGTTGTAGCTTATTTGAAAACTGATGTCCAAAAAATTTCTAAACAATAAAAACAATACATATAAATATTGCAACCGTTTTATGTTAAACTTTTTTATAAACTAATATTGATTTGGTTTAAAAACGTTTAAAAACTAACTATTCGACGAGTTATCATTTTAACGTTACGCTTGCAAAATATACTTTATTTAATGTCTCCAAAACATGTAATATTGCTCTGAGGTCTTCCTAGAAACAAAAGGAATATCACTCCTTGATTATGCAAGATTTATTTATTACTGATTTTGTAGGGACTGAAATAAGTTGACTTGTCACAATTTAGCAAAAAAAGATTTGCATAGTCTATTGGTATTTTTTTGGGGAAAAATCTTTGTACTTTTTAAATATTTATTTCTAGGTTATATATTGTATTGATAACTAGTAAGTAATCATCTAAAACTAGGACTAGGACATGCATTCTTTCAAATAGTCCTATCTAAAGAGTTGAAACAAATTTTAAACAAAGGAAATTATATAAAAGTTTGAAAATATTTTTCGCATACTAAGTAAATAGAAAATTACATTATAAATAGAAAAATAAACATTTTTCAACACAAGTTAAAATATTTAGCATATTGAAGTCATTTTAATTGCTGTTTTCTTATAATTTCGTTATGTAGTTTTTGCTTTAATTTTTGTATTTTGTCTTTTCGCTTGCTTGAAGTTTTTATTATTTCTGCTGTTGTTGCTAATTGTTTTTCGTCTTTAGTCGCTGTTTTTTTGTTCGACAATTTTTTCACACCTTTTTTATTTCGCCAAAATAACTAAAGATTCTTATTATTTTTTAATTTTTATTTTATTTTATTTTGCAAAGGAGTTTGGGATTCCATTTTCGTTTTTTTGTTTTTGTTTTCATTTTGAAGTTGTTATGTTTTGCCTTTTCGTTTGCGTTAAGTTTTTTTATTATTTGAGCTGTTTCGCTAATTATTTTTTCTTTTTGTTTGCTCTTGGTAATAATTGAGTGTTTTCATATTTTTTGTATTATTGCTACACTTATTATAGCTTTATTTTTATTTTTATAATATTTTAACTGATTTATTTTACACATGCTTTTATTTATTAATTTTGCTGTTGATTTTTTTTGTTTGTTTATTTTATTTAGGTGTCACTTCAATAACTTAACTATATAAGTAACACATAACCTAATTTTGCAAAATTACAAATATTTATTGTTTTTCAATATTTTAGTGGCATCAATGGATAAATAAATATGTTTCAAATGTATTGTATTTATAACATGTTAGCAAGAAAAACATAGAGCTTTTTCTTGCCATTAAAGCCCAGAGAATGATGAAGCTAGTATTTAGTCAAAATTAAAGCAAAAATTAATCAAGCAGTTAGTGACCAATACTTGACTATAAATTGACATTTGATTCGGATCGATGTTTTAATTTTTTATAACAAATAAGATTATTAAACGTTGATAATACTTTTGCACTATTGACTAATTAGATTCAATATTTTACACGTTTAAATCTTTAAAACGTGCAATAAACGTATACATTAAAAATAATGGAACCGTACCTTTCAAGTCTTGTTAAACGTTTTAACTATGGATTGATAATAGTCGATAATGTAAAACTTTAAAACGTTTGAAAAACATATAGATTAAAATAATAAAAGCCTACGCCAACTTAACATAAAGTTATAAAGTTTTTATGAATTCTATTCCATTAATAAAAAGACGTCAATCTTTATTTTTAAATTAGATGTATTTTGGTTGCAACGCGATTTAACTATATTCTAATGACGTTTAAACATTGGCGCAACTGTGTTATTCTAAGATTTGTCTAGCATTGGTATAACGTTGGAAAAACGTAATCGACGAACGTCTTTATTGTTAAAAATAAAAGAACGTTGGAACAAAACTGGTTGTTTATCATTAGATTAACGTTAGTCCGAATAGCACCAGAAAAACGTTGTCAACTATTGTTTGTTTTTTTTACTTTTGACATCAAAGTAACAGCTGCATTTTGAACTAAACACAACTTTATCAATAAAGAAAAGAAAAAAATCTACGCATTGTGGAAAAACTGTTATCAAAAAAAATACTTTGTTTAATCCAAAGATTACTATATGAGTGAACGCATATAGTTTAGTCTCTGTCTTTCTAGCCAAGACTATTATTCTATCAAAGTTAAAGCACTTTTTGTCATTGCAAAATTAAAGCGCTTTTTAACTTTGCAACATGTTGAAACAATGTTTTTTGAAAAGTTGTTTCATTTTGCTAAACAAATGTAAAGTTATGATAGGTAAAGGGAACTATGAACTTTAAAAATGTCGTATTTTAAAGTTACCTAAAGATAAAGCTGAGAATCAGATATGGTGTAACACGTTTCCTACCCGTAAATATTTTATGGCACTGTTAACCATGTTGTTTTTATTTCAGCAAAAAACACTATGGCTATTTCTGGAATGCCCCGTCATGGCAAAGTTTTTATGTTTTCTCTCAAATGTGTATTTTTGATGTGGGCAAATGCATGTTAAAATCCTAAACTTTGTTTTACTACCTTTTTTTACATGATCACTCTATTTTGAAGACCTAAGGATAAGTGATGTTGGGAAGTTGAAACAAGATGAAAAGTTGGCAAGTTAGAAAGTTGATTTTTTTTGAGTTATTGATTGTTAAAGAAAACTGGAGTACACACTGTAATTTTTAATATCTGTTTTAAATGAATACTCGACTTTGATACCAATGGTAGAGAAATATAACTATGACGTAAAAGTTCATAGAAAATTATGAAAATTTTCTAGGAACATTTCCGTAAGAAACTTCATTTTGATTTATATGTTCTTGCTGCATAATGCAAAAACTCTTTGCATAAAACCTTTGAAAATACCAAATTTTTTTTGGATTGTGACAAGAATGCGGCTTTTCCAGCAAAAATGACAACCTTGAAACAAGTTGGAATAATGGTGCAGCGTTGATCAAACCTTACAATCTTGAATGCGTTGTAGTTTTAGCGTTAAACTAAAGTTTATTATTGTACACTATGTCGCGGTAAATTGAAATGTTGAATAAGCATTTATATTTTAGCGTAAATAAGCTTGCTAATAAAACACTTAAATAAAGGTACGCAAAAATGTCCCTTTAAAATCATTACAAATTCAACGCTTTTTCAACGTTGAAAGAAAATTTTATTTAAAATTTATATTTTTAACCTCAAGTAAGCATTTAAATCATTACATAACTTAGCTTTTTTGAATAAGAATTAGCGAATCGATGCTTCGATAACATTTTATTTTCACTTTAAAGTGTAGTCTCTTTCAATAGGTATTTATGTTCATAATATGTTGTTTAATGTATATATATAAGAGTAATATACCTAAATGCCGATAATATACATAATATAAATGTAATATACATGTAATATACATAAATGTAAAGACTCTGCAGCCTTGACTCAGATTTTAAATCACTATTTGTTCCTGGGCAAAATAAATAATTTCATTCATATAATTCTTAAGTCTCTTACAAAATTTTTAAGGAACTTTTTAATAGCATTAATAAAAATATTTATTGAACTCAATGACTTAGAATTTATTGGTTTTTAGCTTAGAGTTTTTACGAAAGAAAATTTAAAGTTTCTTTACTTTAAATGTCCTGTTTAATTTACCAAAGTAGTCAATAAGTTTGTATATTATACATTTTTTTAACTTTAACATTAAATTTGAGTATTTTCCTTAAGTTTTCAAATCTTTGTTTCAATACGATTTTTAGATAGCATAAAAATTTCTATCATAATCAATTTTAAAATAATAGAAGTAAGCAACTGAAACAGAATCGATTATATTAAAGAGTCATTTAAATTTTATTTACGTTAAAAACATTGGCCTGAAAATTTTAAAATAATTAAGCAACCTGGTGACTACACATGACCACTTTGTGCACCAAGTATTTTTAATGTTCCTCTTTTTGACTACCAACACCAAAGTAAATGCTTCTCAAATTTAAGCATGAAAATCAACAACTTAAATACATTTTAGAAAAATAAAAAAAAAAATACGTTTTCTGAAATATATCCTGACAATGAATTATACAAATAGAATGAAATTACAGTAATACTTCAACAATAAAAAAAAGTTAGATATATATATTTCTATGTAAGATAATTTAGAGGAGAGCTTCATGACAATAATTGTTTTAAATATTGCATTAGAGTTCCATCAGGCAATATATTGAATCCAAGAAAGGAAAATGGAACTCTAATGCAATATTTAAACTCATATTTTGGTCTTATACTCACAACATTGTGAAGCTATAAATTTGAAACTATATTAGAAAAAATTAACGAAAAAAGTTAGTTGGTGATATTACTTAAAAGATAACAGTTAGTCTATAGAAAAAATTGGAATTCAAAGATAATATCAAGAAAAAGAAACTGAATTTTATTACAAGAAAGTTTAAACTACTTGCTACAATTTTTTTCATAGCTAAATATTGATTTGGTATTAATTCTTTTTATATATGGAGCTACAATCAACTTCGTAACATTTTAGCGCTTCAATGTAAACAAAGCAGTCCATAATTTCTGCCACAATAATAGGCCTTGTAGTATAAAAACATTTAAAAATGCTTTTTTCATGATTGATGATGTAAAAATCATATGTTTTAAAAAAAACTGCAGTTATATTTGAAAAAAGCTATTTTTTTAAATGCCTTTTTTTACAATCATAAAATCAATCAGCAATATTGCAAATATTTCAAAATAATTACTGACTATCATATTGTGAAACAAAAATATTTAATTGAAAAGTAGTAGCTGCTCTGAAACAAAAAGGAGCTCAGAAAACAGTCTCTTGAACCAGCAGGTTATGATTGGTAGAGTATTATTAATGTTTTTTCAAAAAGGCAGAAATTTAGACTAAGAGACCACAACCAATTTGTGCAAGATAAAAACTAAAATAAGCTGCATTTTTTTTTATAGTATTTTCCATCAATGAAATTAGGGCGCCGATCCAAACTAATTTAATTTTTTACTCGTGATAACAAAAATGTC